CAGCAGCAACCATGGATGTATTTCGTTTGCAGCAAAGGGCACTTTCCCTCAGACAAACATTACACGCCAGATTGTATTTGTATGACCAAAAGGTGAAAACTAGAATATGCTACCGACAACTAAGCGTGGCTTACGCGTGATGCGTGATGAGTGACGCGTTTGTGACGCCAGACACTAGCCGTCTCGGGTAACCATGAACCCATTCTGGTGAGTGGAGGGTGCGACATCGGTACTGGAAACTCATTAGTGGAGAGCTAAGGAGCAATGGGTATTGGAGACAGAAACGGGAGTGGGAACAGGCCTAATAATGGCAAGAACTTCTGTTACTTCTCTTCAACCCAAACGCTTCTTTCTGAATTCAAGGTGCAGGCAGTGTGATTCAATGGTGACAATAGACGGCGATCATGCAAATCACTTGGCATTCGTATCGTAAAGAGTACGTGGAAATCGAGACAATCTAATTGTCATTGAACACACCTCAATCGTTTGAATGGACTGTGACAAAAGCATTCAGTCGTCTGTAGGCAGCAGAACTGCAAGAACAATATAGCACCCGACGATTGGCACGTAACGAAATTTCGTGGAACTTGAACAGCTGCAAACTTTGCAGCAATGGATTTAGGCATGTTTACCTATCTTTGGGCTCTCTCAATGCCTGTCTATCAACTCCAATTCGACAATGTCTCCTTTTTTCTTACTTGTCATTGTTGCATGATGATATTCACTACACAATACAGATAAACTATGTCTAGATTCAGCCCGAGCAGCACCGTGGCTTTCACTTCAAAATGAACTGACACAAAAGAGCCAAAGTGACAAGATAACGCATAGCAAAATTACACTAGGCAGCCTGGCGTGACAAATGCGTCATCTTTAGCTGGAATGGCCCATTGTCGTTCTTGGGATTTATCAAATCAGTCACCTAGCCCACAGGCGCGGCAGCTGGACTATAGTAGCTGAACGCGAGGGATGCCGCAGTGTGATGTGGACTGTTGGAAAAAGAGTAGTTTTTAACCGTATAAGTCCCTGCAGTAGCGTGGCAAAATTAACTTCAACGAAGTGGCTATTGTTATTTGGAGTGTTGTAATTATTGAAATTTTGCGAGTTACAGATCGTTATTATTCATTTTAAGGCAAAAATAATCAAGAGGCTGTTCTTCTCTTATAAGTAAGCATTTTCTTTTATAAAAAGACAAGTGAATTTCTAAATATTTGAATATTCGTAATCAATAGTCACGGTTGGCTTGCCCAAACCAAGTTGAAGCACGAGATCAGAAATTCGTACAAATCCAGTTACATGGGGTAAGAACATCTTCTTGACATTCTTGAGTCATACATCAGTCATCACTACGATCATGTAATGACAATGTTGTCGATGATTATGAATTTCGAATGATAATGCTGATAAATAAATTGATAACCCGGATGTGCGTGCTTCAGTGGAGATTAATATGTTTTCATTTGTTGCTCAATTTGCTATATGTAATGATGACTGATGATGATCAAGAAACATCAACTCTAGTTTCAACGTTAACACCGTTTTTAGATAATATTTACTATCATCAATGTTCTCCTTTTTTCTTTTTTGCTCATTTTTAGATAATCACAGCCATGCCACTGACCTACTGTTTCTTGCACCACTGCTCTCAGGCGTTGTTTTGGATTTATGGTATAAGTACAGGTATTCAAGCGATGTTTCTGCTCAGCCGAACACCACAGATAGCTAAAACGCCTCCGGTGTTTGGCAGGATCGAACATTTATTTGCGTTATCCACCGCGCACAGAAGCTCAGGCTAACCTTTTCCCAGGTCGGCGGAGGCGGCGTCAGATCTATCAATTTAATATCGGCGCCGCGCTCTCAGCACGTCGGGGAACGATAAGAAAAATATGCATGCAATGGAATGAAAATGTCCGATGCTAAAATAATAGGGATGTAGTTCTGGTTTATAAATTATATCCAGTGAGTAGCTTTTTAAGAGCCTAGATATTAAGGACTGAGTAAGTAATGATAATTTGGCCAAGCGTTTGATGTTTGGTTGAAAAATGTAAGCTCGACGGTTCTTCATCAGGCTGTTATTGCCTGCGCTGCAAGGTAGGTTGAGTGCAGGAATGTGATAACGAGAAGCAAAAATGCCAAAGTTGTGTCGTAACTGTCGCCAAGACATCGTCTCTACACAGCTTAATGTTGAAATAAAAATTATTTGGCGAAAAAGAGACAAGTGATTTTTAAAGAAAAATGCCTATATCATTTCACAAATGATAAATGACTGATTTCACAAATGACAGTTAAGCCATTTAAGGAAGATTGGAAGACCTAATTTGACATACAATTTTAGGTAATTTAATTTCATATCAATTTCATTGTTATGATCTTTCACAAGTTTGTAGATTAACTCTCAGTGAAGACGTCATGTGAAATGCAAGGTACACAGAAATGCTCCCAACACCTTCAAAAAGTGACGCACATGAGCGTTACACACTATGATCTCATTGATCAGACCATCCAAGCTCGACTGGATTGGTTACAATTGCAACTGACTGACCATGTAAGACAACCGAATAGGCTCGTATGGGCTCAGTAGGCTTTTGCTGCTTAGAATCAATTGTCTTCATATGCCTACATTGATAATAACCTCATTTCCGTATTAGCGCTTTACTGTGGTGCTTACTTCATATACAAAAACTCCCTATAAAACTTGTGCTTCTTCAACGTTTACAGGGTTCAGACTTGCCTTTAATTCATATTCATATAAAAGTTGATTTGCTTACAAGTGATTAAGGTTGTCTTACATAGCTTCCCGCTAGCCAATTAGGCGCCGTGCTCCAGCGAAATGCGTGCGCTCAGCGAAGCACCTTTTAAAGCAAAAGCACCTCAACAAAAACGTGAGCGAAATTTATCGGGCATCCTTTGCAGAAAATGCCTCTTAATGCTGTAGAAGAAAGCAAATGCTTTCGTATCACGATCTGCAACTTTTCTCCTTAATTAAGATATGTGGTAGGCAAAAGAAAGAAAACAAAGGGATTGTAAAGTAAATTACAACGAAACCCAGCTGAAAGCGAATTCACCTGTCAACATGACTGAAAGGATGCTAAGAAACAACATAACAAAAAGTGGAATTGAGCTTTAAAGGAAGACTGCCACCTTCAAAAAGTTTTCTCAGATCGGCCTATGATTTATTCCCTGGACAAAACAAAATTTTAGAATTCACCTGACAAAGTATCATCACGTGAATCGCGAAAAAAATTGTCGATTTTCATACAATTATCAATCGGTTAATGTCTAGCGACAATGTTTACACATCACTAGACTTCAAGGTCATAAGATTATTACATTTTATTTGAAAAAGTAAGATATTTTATGATTTACTAATATATGTTTAATTTATTTTGCATTTAAGTTCGTAAAACATTAAAAAAAATCATGGCTCATTTGGAATGGGTCTGGCCCATGTTAAACCCCATTTCCCACACTTTTTTGGAAAAAATGAACTACTGAATATATAAGTTTAACTTTTATTTTGACACTCCAAAATTATTCTCTGATCTCGAAACAATCAAAGTTTTGACATATATTTACCAAAAGATAAGAAAATTCATGTTTCAAAGTTATCGATAAACAGTAGAGATGTCGGTTTTCTTGGACTAAAAAATGGCATCAAACTGAACTTTGGTCTCCGATTTCTCGCAAACGGGTTCGAATTTCGGAAAACCGACTTCAGTCTGGGACATAGGTGGCTCAGCTCTAGTGAAAACCGTTTTGTGGAAAAAAGGTGGCAGTCTACCTTTAAATCGAAAAAGTGTCATAACTTTCAATAACCTCAAGCAAGGGAATTTAACTGACCAATAAAGATGCCAGGGCATTAATGTTGGCATGCATTCGGCACGGTAGAAAACATGCCTCAGCCTCAGAGACTTATATTTATCGAGGTAAACATAAATATTCTCACTGGCCCTGATACCAAGCGCAAGGGCATTGCCAAAATAATCTACCGTCACAAAAAGTAGGTACCCTCTGAATCAGAGCAAGTATGTGCTCCTATCGCAGTAATGACGTTCAGCTGGCCTTCGTGAGAGCAATTCGTTCTCATCAGAGTCCCACTGCCAGCAGCTGTGCAAAATGAACAGGCACTGGTGAGACAGAGCTACCCGGTGCAGGGAGGCCGGCCCAGAATCTCCGCAGCAAGCAACATGCTGATCTAGAAGGAAGACACTATCTCGGAGGTTAACGAGGGTGGAATAAACCATTGGGCCTATGATATCTTGGCAGCTTTGTCATTTAATCGAAAGAAATGGATGTGAGTGCTGACCTTTCTAAGCTAGCTATTTGGTAGCCGAAATAAATATAAAAGCTTGATATTACCCAATAGACAATAGAGCTGTAGTTACGAAGATAAGCAGAAACTATCTCAATGTTATTTTCCTCATATACCACCAACGCAAATGCTTGAAACCGAAGTTTTAAAAGCTGTTAACATAATTCAGTTCTTGATAGCGCATGGGAATGTGTGCTCATTACTTTAGTTTCAAACAAACTTTCGTAATTGCATGCAAGGGTCGAACGAGAAGCTTACTAACAGCACAAGAACCAAGGCTATATTTAGGTCTGCTATTGGAATGCCTATGACATTCTTTTGAGGTCCCCCACCATCTCAACCTAAATTTACACTTGGTTGGGGCAGTGCACGTGAGGGAACTTGACAGGATAGTTGAAGCATTCCATACCGACTGGCGGCTGCATACAGTGATCAGATGAATGCGGTAACTCATAAAAGGAAGACACGGCGAAGGCGGATGGATGCACCGTTCTCCCTCCTTCCCCCCCCCCCTCTCTCTCTCTCTCTCCCTCTCTCCCGCTCTCCATCTCCTTCTCCATACCTTTCTCTCCTCCTTACTTTCCTTTCCCCTCCCTCCCTCTGCCTCTCCTCTCCCTCTCCTCTCCCTCTCCCTCTCCCTCTCCTTTCCCTCTCCTCCCTCTTCCCCTCCTCTCGTATCTGTACTCACCAAGCACCAGAACGGCCAGGTCGGACACCGCCAGGCTGAACAGGTAGTAATTGGTAGCTGTCTGCAGGCCAGGGTTTCGGATGATGACCAGACACACGGCCACGTTCCCAACCACCCCGGTGACGAAGATGATGATGTAGACAATGGTGATGGGCAGCACCACCTGAAGAGGCAGGTACTTGGGGCCGACCGTGTTCTGCAGGAAGCTAGCAGCGTCCGAGTACTGGTAGAACGGGTCGGTGACGTTGGGGGTGCTGGTCATGTTGGTCGTCATGCCGGTGGCGTTGTCGAAGTCCATGATCCAGCTGTGGATTGTCCTTGGTTGGTGTACGAACTTGATTGGTGTATTGGCGTTCCCAGCAGACACTATACTCGTACGTCAGCGGAGGTTACGGGTCGTAAGAAGTCTTACAAAAGTTATTCCTGTTCATCAGCCACCACTGCCGCTGTCCAGCTCGATATATCTGACGGACACGGGACTTCCTTTCTCCGTCTCTGTCAACCCTTCGTCTCCTCGGCCCCAATATGTCTCCAGTCTACACAATCAGTTATTAGGTCTGACAGGAGCCAATTTCGGTCCCGATATGATCTCCGGTGACCGTCCACCGCTTTAGTTCACGGAGTCTCCCTCAGACTCAGCTCAACACAGACCCTCACCACAGTCAGTCACCTGTTGACCATTTACCATAGCACGTCCCTCCGAACCCCGCACGAGCACGCCCCGCACCGACCCCGACCGGCGACCGTCTGACCCGACCTGCGCCAGGAACGGGGCCACGACGACGGCGACGGTGGCTCGGCCGGCGGCGTCGGCGGCGCGGCGACGAATGCGACGCGTGCGACGAGTGCGACGCGGCGGCGGCAGCGGCGCAGTGGGAGTGCTTAGCGGCGCGTTCCCAGCGGTGTTGGCGTGCCGCGTCGGACGATATGCGTGCCTCTGAGACCAGAGGAGACACGTCGCGCAGATCCCTGGCACAAGTCCTGACTCAGGACAGCTGAGCCTCAAAGCAGCTCGGTTCGATCATGTTCCCGCCTCCGCCCGCTTACGAACCATCATTCCCAGTCTCTCCTTGCTCATCTTTTGTTAAATCGTCTCCTATCATTCGTTATTCAACATTTCCCATTTATACTCTCTTTTCTCGTCATTGATCACTTCCGATGCAGCCTTTCATGCCATCTCTCACCGACGGAATAGCCACCCACGCCTCTGATTGCCTTCAGAGCACCCTCTCCCGCCTCTAGCTATCCTTGACGCAGTTTTCCCGCCTCCGGCTGCCTTTAACACACCCTCTCCCGCCTCTGGCCACCCTCGGAGCTCCCTCTCCCGCCTCTGATCGTCTTCAGATCACCTGCAGACGTCTCCCCGTGTCCTCGGACGCGAGCCAAACGAGCTAACGAGCGACAGAGGAGCTGCTGATTGAAACTGTCGCGGCCACCGGTGGGCTCGGTGTACGACGAGCCCACGCAATCCGAGAACGTCGACGCCGACGGCAGCAGTGTCGACACCGACGGCTCTGGTCCGGGAAGATGAGATTCACGAGGGAAACCGAGCAGAGATGTGGCGGGGTGAGCGAGGTTTGAGATCTTGAGCAGCTGAATGTTGTTGTCCCTTTGGAATTGTTTAGCTTGCTACTTGACGCACTGAAACAAAAAAATGCACATTTCTTCAAATATGCCAAAAGTATACACTATGGCACAAGTCATCTGAAAACAGGATAATTAGTTAAAGCAATATAATTGAAACATGGGGACAAATAAAACATCCGACACTCATCTTCAGAGGTTGTTCTATTCTAAGCCAAAATTCCATGAACACACCCACTATTTTAGGATGAACAAGAATTATTTAAGTACTTTTTTAAAAGCAGATGTCTGTAACTGCGCTGCACAACTGCGCCTGAAGCAAATCCTCGTAGTAGTCATATTCTAGCTCTTTACTTGTAGACCCTAATCTAGGAACAAATTTGCTGAGTGTGCGGCATCATTAAGCGGTTGTGATATCAAATTAAAGGCAGCAAGTCGTTGCAGATCATCACTGCTGGCCAACGACAGAATTTCATTAAAAGCTGCCCTCTGCGATATTTGCTAATATCGTCATAATTCAGAATTTGAGATGATCCCCGGTCCCGATCTCAGTGAATGCGTTTTGGCATGGCCCTAGCAATGCCTTAAAACAATGTTTACATATACATAGGACCGAGAGTTAGTTAGCCCTGTAGTTGATCATGCCTTATTTTCATCCTATCAAAAATGTCGCCTTGAAATGTCAGTAGGCTAATTGAAGATAAAGTAATACCTACTCCAGAAAAAAATACAGTCCAAAATTCACTTTAAGTTTTACTTGCCTATCCAAATCCCTTTTCGACCCTCCCATGTCTCTGAGTGCAAAACTGGGAGACGCGGCAATAACTCAATGCCGATCGGTGGTTTTTCTGCCTCCGCTGAGGCGCGAAATCTGAGATTTTTCAGCGATCGTTGGCGGCGCTGTCGAGATGGCGTCGGTGATAGATCATCGGCTCTCCGACGGGCAGCCGGCGAGGGCTCTCCGTGGGCGAGCAGGCGAGCCATGGGCGAGGCGGTCGGGCCGGGCCGAGTCAGGGTCGGCGGTCGGGCAGACAGGTCAGCCTAGGGTGTGTTCTAGGTCGGCGACCGGGACCGCCAGGTCAGAGGAGGGGTCAGAGGATTGTGGGTCATGGGTCGGCAGCCGGGCCAGGGCAGAGTGCAGTGGCTGCGGAGTCGGACAGCTGGGGACGGGGATGGACAGCTGGACAGCTGTTGATAGAGAGGCTGGTGACGGTCAGGTCAGCAGGGGTTGGGTGCGTGCGCCAGGAACAGGGCTCGGCCGGTGTGCACGTGACAGTCCTGCTTGACACGTGTCAGTCACGGCAGGCCAGCAGACTGGGTCAATGATTGGTGCCCTCACTGGTTACGCGATGACAAATCACAGTAACAATGACTCAATAGCCACTTGTTTGTTTTCGGTTGCGTGATGCCTGATGATGGTTCGTCACGAAACACAAAGATACACAGTCACAATCTATATGCGTGTTGTCACTCGAACATAACGCTACAGAAATGTAAGAGGTACGCTTAAGTCTCGCCTGATTTATTCGGTGAACATCCCTTGAGCGTGTTCTATTAGCTCAGTATTATGGAGCATATTTTTATGTTTGTATAAATGTCTAGTTTCCACTAGCTTGTATTGTGGTAGAGGTATAGCTAAGGCAAGTCCAGAAGCAAGCGAACTCGTCAGTACTCAATATAATTTTGGTGCGCAGGTGACGTCAACTCAATATAAAGCGCCCTTAGCTGCAAGCGCGTCTCTCAGACATTGTCGAAGTTTGTGCAGATCGCATTCAGTGGCTTGGTTACGTTTTACTGCGGCACCGTTTGGTTCAAATCAAGATCGGTAGCACTGATAAGTGATGAAAGGAGTTGAGTCAAGAGCCAACTTGCCATTCTGCGTTCAATAGTACACACCTCTGTAATTGATTACAAAATGCAGTCAGTAGCTAACCGGTTGTGGCTCGCCGCAAGGCAGATCTCAGTGCACTCTGCAAGGCACTTTGCATTGCAGTTCACGATACAATTTGCAACACAATTCACTCTGCATTGCCTGACTACATTAACTTGCTGTCTGACAGATTGTCAGGGGTTATTGACCAGAGCCCAGTCGAGAGGGCCCTGGATGCCAGTAATGAACATCCTGGACAGCCCAGTTCCCGGCCGTTTGCTGTTTGCCCCTGTCCATTTACCGGTGACCTGTCAACCGTGACGGGGTGCCACCTGAGAGAGGGAGCAGCGGGGCCAGCCCCGCCTGCAGGCAGCGGCCATATTAGTGGTGGAAGATTGTATGTACAATGTACATGCATACTTCGCAGTGCTTTAAGACCTTAGTCACTATTTTCCCGTAAATTATTTTTTTGCAAATTGAAAGCAGCTGGGGAACTGGACCAAGGTCCGGTCTTCACACTAGTCATTCGGCAAATGGCATCACTTAAAAATTCGTTTTACGAGTATGTTGTATGCAAGATTCCTTTACTACTCGTTTTATGAACGCCTTAAAAAAAAACTTCAGCAGATGGTGAAGGAATGTGTCACTAGATAACAACGTAGCAATTGTTTCCTTAATCCAGAGTTTGCGAAATAACCGAAAATCAAATTCCAAAAGAGGAAACTATTGATTTATCTGGATTCTGGCGGTATGTCCGTTTGTTTTAGTCAAAGGCGTCAAAGCTATCGGTTATCAGGGCCAGGTCAATACCGGTTCCTTATCTTTGCGACTCTATTTCAAGACGTCTTGCACATTATTCATCCAGCCGACCGCACTCTTGCGCAACTGGTACAAAGTAATTCACAAGTCTTGCACATGACAATAGCACACAATGCTCACAATTCATAACTCATGAAACTTAAAGCGCGCTTCTGTAGAAACATCCTCGTCTCCTGCCATTGTCAATTTCCGCCGAAATGGCTGTGTGAACAATTTATGCGAAAACTCATTGTCAAATCGCCCACTGAAGGTTTGTTGGAAACGTGCGTCGGTGTTTAGTGCGAAATCATATCGAGGGTGTGAACACTGAATGGCAGCGCTCGAGCTGACAGCATTGCATCACTGACCTCAGGGATGTGGTCAAAGTCAAGACGCGGCTCCTTCCTTTCCTCGCAGACGATGAAAATACAAAAACAAATAAAAATAAGCCACTCACAGTCTTAGATCCCAGACGTGTGATACAATGAGTAATACGATTATATGTAAATGTATAATGCATATCACATAAAGTCACGTCGTTTTACCGCACCACACTTGACCATCTTTGCTAAAGACCACAGTATCTTCAATCTCGAACACACGGTTATTCCTGATCACCACGAGTCACTGGCCGTCGCTTCGCATTCATCTCGCGTGCGCCACAAACTAAAAACACGCTGGCACCATGTCAGACGTCCCCTAAACCGGGTGACAGCTGGTCACCCATTCAGCCTGTCAAACTGTCAAACGGTAACCCGACGGCCGACAAGGTAGAGTGCTTTACCATCGCAGCGGCCGGCGGTGCCACAGAGAGAGACGTAGAGTAGATGAATCAGCACCTCAGAGAATCCGGTGCTCATTTTCGTGTTTAGATTTAGTCGGTGATGACTGGAGAAAAGAAAATTGTGGTCGAGATGAGATCTGAGCTTTGAGGAGATTCCAGGAGAACGACTTTGTCGTGCTTGCATCAGAAAAGTGGGTTGCATCATTTGAGAGTCGAGCTAAAGATGTTTGTGTGATTCATATAAACATATCCTAGTTTCGCCGTTTTGTCAACATGTATCTTCAACTAATGTAGACGTTGTCCAATGCGACCGATGAGCGATCTCCAGTTTCCTGCCGCAAAGTGTTGAACATTGAAGCCGATTGTCCGATTTCACAAAGCTGCATGTCACATTTCGGGACCAAGTTTTCAGCTTAACCGGCCAGATCGTCCGTATGGGGACCGACAACTTTAGACACAGTCGATTCATGGGTGCAGGGTATCTCGGCAACAAGATGGAATAGACCCACATGTTTTCCGCCAGTTTGAGGCTGCTGGTTGCCCAACTAGTCGGGGCTAAAAAGTCGCCACTCAGTCTGGCCATACTGACAGATCGGGATATCCATAGTATCCCAAGCCAAAGTCGTTCGTCTTCGTCACCAGATAGGCTATCGACAGGCCGAAAATAGGATGTTGAGTGGTGATGCGACACATTCCATCGAAATGCGACAGGCAGCATGATGATGGATCCAATTTACAGTATCTGTATCAATATAAATACCTCAGCAAAAACATTGGGTTTCCCCGGGGCCACATTGCCCCAACGACCGACGAAACCTCCAGTTTCTGAGGAGCAATAGTGTTGATACGTCTGCCTGAAATTAACTTGTCATAAACATCTGTAAAAGTATGTGTACTGACCTCTAGGTAACCATCTATTTCAAGTTCACAGACACATAACTAATCTGGGCATGAGATAGTTGAGTAGATATCTAGTATCATTCGCTTGACAGCGTCTGGCGGTGTGTATCTGTGTCACATCCTTAGCTCGATGGGCTTTACCAACTGGGTTGCTGCCAGGACCCATCGCTAAAGACGTCTACGTGGTCCGACAGGCATTGTCACAGCGCCGAAACTCATCACGCGTCGATTCCTGCCAGTGCACACCGCCGTTTGGACTGGTCTCTTTGATGTTGGAGCGCGACGAGACACTTTGGGAGTTTTTTTGGGGGGAGGGCACTGGATAGAGCGGATGATTTGATATCAGAAGCCATAGATAATATGAATCATTTGCCGCTGTCGAGCGAACGACATCTGCCACTAGACCTTTGCCAACTTATGTTATCTATGCCGAAGCAACTAGATTGTAAAATTTAGGCTGACGTTTAAGTAGCTAACGATCTGATATGAGGCTATTTCAAATGCGACAAGTGGCGTACCTGTAAGTCCAGCAGAAAATCTTTTGTCTTTTTTTTTGACATTCTACTTTTTGTCTTTCCAAAAGTACAGTGATAAGATCTTGATTTTTTAAATTTCATCTTGCCCTTAAATTTGTTTTATTTCGTTTACTGTCACAAAAATTTGGGACTTGGTCCCGATTCAAACGCCTTGTCCTGTCTTCAGAGCACA